AGCTCAATGCTGCCTGCACAGAGCAGCACAGCCTGATGGTGGGAGCAGGAGAGATGCTGTAGGCTGCAAGGGGGACTGGAGATTGAGAGATCCTTCAGCTTTTAATGCAGAAATGTGTATTTGTGAGACACAGACACAGGGAGAGAGACTCTCTGCTCCCTAAGATAATACACTCCTTTATTTTAACCTCTGCTGTATCAAGGCTATCAATACAGCTAGGGTTTGGAGGGCTTTTACACTGCTGTTTCTGCAAAGTAGTTAACTTTCTTTTTTTTTTTTCTGACAATATAGCATTGCTCAGTTCTACTGGGAGAAAAAAAATGAAGATGTATTCGTCAAAATGAAATGTTAATTTACTTTTCTGTTGACAAGACAGTTACTATTGAAGATGACATATGCATGGCTCCTTAACTGAGCATGAAAATTTAATTTCTAAGAGGTTGTAAAGCAATCAGAAGATTGCCTGGTATTAAACTTGCAAAATTGTGCTGTATTAGCTTTATGAGATCCTTTAGCCAAGCACTCCCCTTTAGAATGATCTTGAACAAGTTTCTTTGTATTTCTGCATCTCAGTTTATCAGCAAACAAAGATTCTCCTACCTTACATTAGCGCTATATGGACATAACCACTAATGCTTGATGCTTAAAATGTTTTCAGGTCTCACTCCAGTTAGATTTCCTCTAACACTCCTTTCTTTCAACCCACAGAGACCTGAATTTTAGTTACGTTCTGTTGCTGCCTGTCTCCTGCTACATAATATAAATAACAGGTTTTGGAACTAAACAAACTAACAAACAAAACAGGCCTTATTTAGGCTCTGCTGACCAAGGGCATTTGGCACTTGGATCTCTGAGGGAAGAAAGGCCCTACTGTCGTGATGTACCTGTGAGGACTTCATAGTGACAGCACCCATGGAAGAAGCACCCTGGTAGGGCTCCCCTCCACCTCTTGTCCTGTGATGTTTATACTGCTCCTTCCCGGTCCTCTCCACATTGTGCCAGGATGATGGGCTTTAAGTGCTGGGAAAGCAGAAGCTCAAGCGCTCAGATCTGATCTAGAGCCCCGGGTGAATCACCTTAAGGTACGACGAGGTGTGTGCTTGAGGAACAGCTATTCTTGCAGGTGAGACTACTCTCTGTGCTCATCTAGTGTGTGGGTACCACTTTGAAAACGTCCTCCTTTAAAATTTTCTAAACTGACCTCCCCCAGGAAAAAAACCTCTATACAACTCACAAAGGCCTAAGGTAAGATTTTACAAAACACGAACAAAGTGTTTTTTTGTACTTCTCAAAGTTCCCCATGGTAGACAAACAGATCAGATCATTGCTGTATTTGATTTTTCTATTTGTCAAGATACTTCATGAATTGGAGAAGTTGTATCCACCTTTCCTGACCTTCTACAAATGTTCTATTTGGATAAGCTTTCTGAGTCATTTATTTCACACATGTTAAAAACTAGAGACAGCCAGGGGATTTATAGAATGCTGAAATGCATTAAATGGCAGGTATGCAAAGGACTTCTGTAATTTGCAGAATATATGAGACAATGATTGTTTTTATTACAAGATTTTTATTGCAAGTTTGTTTTTATTACAAGAAGGAAAGAACAGAAAAATGCTCTCATGATCCAGCTGTCTGTAGCATTACTGTATGGCTCATTTGAATCCCTATTTTTATGGTATTAAATTATTTCTCATTTTTATTCTTCCAAGCAATTTGTGACTGTTATGCCTGCATGCTGATATGCATTTCGTTTGGTCTTCACGTTTTATATACCAATAAATTCATTTAAATATAGCAATATCAAATGAAGCTGTTCTGCCAGGAGTTAAGGGACAAGCATTGACATGGCCAAGATTACCTAAATGAGAATTTGTGTGACCTTTCCTTTTAATACAGCAGAGATTATTTTTCAAGAGTCCCTCCCTCCTGATACACCTCGCTCAGGTGTATCCACATAAACCTTGAAGGCTGTATCAGCCAGATACAGTCTACCTTGTTTACACACATGTTGCCTGCTTCAAATAATTAACTTAAAGAGTTGTGACACATAACTTTACAAAGCGGTGGTGACCTTTTGTTAGTCTTGGATGTATTTCTTCATGCAGTGCATTGTAGGCGACCATATTGTTTGTATTCTCTACTATGGTGTGTTGTTTCCAATACTTTGATTCTCTTTATATGCCTTGTATAGATATCACATTTACCATTTGGTAGCTCCTTTAAATGTCCTCTAGAAATCCTGTTAAAAAGAATGTAATTAATTACAATTATTTCTCCTGTCTTTGCATTCCTCCTCCAACTAATTCAGTGGATGTCTAGTTTCAGTCATTATGCCTTACTAAAAAAGTTACAGGAAAGTTATAGTTAAAATATTTTTTACTGTAGCAGCTCAAAATCTGTGAAATGAATGGTAAAGCTACAACCTGCCATTTTTATGGCATAGTCAAAATGGTAAAGCACACTTTTTTTTTTTTTAATAAAAAGACAACATTGGAGTAGTGATCAGAATTTCAACTGCAAATAGCAAAATTTCATCTTTTAGCCAGACTAAGTGGATGGTGGTGGATTCTTGCACATATTGTAAAAAGGCCAAAAAACCCCCAGAAGTCTGCTGTAAACAAAAAGGTGGGTAAGTAACAGATATCTATTGATACTGTGTGGAGACCTGTACACTGGATATTGGTAATTGCACAAGCTTTTCTTATTAATATATGTAAGCAACATGCAAGAATACACATGTTAGATTAAGCTTCAAAGTATCATATGTTGGTTAATCCACAGAATCGCATTAATGGGTGAGTGTTACATACAAGTTGATAGCGTGCTGACTGCCTAGAGAGGCTTTATTCTGCCAGAGCAGAAAAAATAGCTTACCAATGCTCTTGCTTAGACTGTGCATGGTATTTAAGTCAAGATCATGTTATCAAGAAATCAAGATTTTTCTTGAAGCAAGATCAATTTTAAAAGAAAACAAGATTTTTATGGAAAAAAGTATAACTAGCTTTAATCAGCACACAGTAATGAAGATCTGTCTTCGTTTATGGACAGCTAACAGTGCATCTTAGTCCACCCTGAAGTAGGGAACACAGAGAAGCCCTAACAAAATGAGAAGTGCAGACATCTCTAAGCTCTAAATTGGCTTTCTCAGTCTGCTCGCCCACAAATCTCACCGTGACCTATTTTTCTTTTCTGTGTCTTCCCCCCTTGATGGCAGAACCACTTTTCAGGATCATTTCTGATTAGAGAGTGCTTAGCAAGGTCTAGGTACTTCATCACAGTGTGCTTTGAAACCCTTGCCCATCGGCTAGAGTGAGTTTTTCTAGTAAATGTGGAAGCTCAAGTTTCTGAAAAACTGGGGCTTTCAGTCTGAGAGCTTTCTTCTTTTGCTTGTGAAGATGAACCCCAACATACACTGGATGTCTTTTAAAAACAGAAAAAGCTGTGCAGGGCCTTTCTACCCATGAGACATGCAGGGAAGAAGGACCCAAACGGGGTCCAGGACGCACACCCTCCTGGGAAGCCCCCCAGGTTGCTTGGCACTGGGAAAGCTCCAGAGGTTTTCCCGGCCACTCCGATAACCGCAGTGGAAACTGAGGTGCTTTTCATTAACAAACAGCACATACATGTGTCTGCATGGGCCCTCGGTAGAGAATTACGTTCCTATATAAAATCACAGATATATTTAAAAAATGTATCGATAGCAAAAAAAAGAAATAAGTATACATACATCTTTTTAAATGTGTGTACATATATTTTTTCAACACTGTGCTTACACTCGTGTGTATACGTATAAACGTATATGCGCCACAGGCTGGGCGGAGCAGAAGGGCCAGCGGCCGCCCCCAACGGCCGCCCCCAAC